GAAAACAAAGTATAAGAATACACTAAACATTGTCAAGAGTGCAAAGACATTTTACCAATAATTGCTAACCTAAATAACTTTTTATATTCATATAGACTTAGAATTCTTGGTTTGGAACTACTAGAAATTCGTCGCCTTAAGCAAATTAACCTAAATAAATCAAGTTTCTTTTTATTTAACAACTATATTTACATTCGAGGACATAATTTCAAATTACGCAAACTAAAATGTAAACGCAATGTCCGTAAATACTCTTTCTCACTCAGTAGAGAAAGGGTATTTATTCATTTTTATTCATACATTCTGTTTCTCGACCCTTTGTAGGATATGTCGAGAAACGGAATGTATGAACTACAAGGTCAAATATAACTAAGAGCTTTTAAAAAAAAAATCATGTTTTTGCCTGATTTATCTTTATTATCGAATATTTACATTTCCGCAAGATCTCAGTTGTATACTGTTGAACTTATTTCCTGTAAGGCCTTACAGGAAAGAAATGCATGGCGTAAGAAAGGAAAACAAAGCAATGCAAAATTACGACGATGTAGACAGAAACATGTTTAAATAGTTATCTGATTTTTAAATCCAGAAATTTATTATAAAAGCAAAATAGCTTGCTTTTTTTTTGCTTAGTTTTTATTTATTAAATGTGATAAATGATGCTTTGTACTGAAATTGTCGTCAAAAATAGGCAGTTTAGCGTTTTATATATAGCATATAGTTGTTAAATAACTAGTCATGCTTTCATTTTAAAACCTTGGGTCATTTAAAAGGTTCTTCAGCATAACAAATGTTTCAAAATGGTATATCATAAGTTTATATTTTAATACATTTTTTTAATTTTTTTGCGCATCTCGTTTTGCTTACCTATATATGCATTTCTAGTTAATATAATATATATTATTTTTGGTGACTTTTTATTAGATTTTCATTCAATTTTATAACAGATATTAACTTGAACAATAAATTAACAGATGCATTTTTTAATTTGTTTTCTCTTTTTTAGAAATGGTGATCTCTGCTACTTTGACTTAATACTGCTAGAAATGATTTTGATAGTTAAACTTCAAAATTTGACGTTTAACTTTTGAATCATAAACTAAATCATAAATCATAAAGATTTTTTGGATTCTATAACAAAGTTAATCAATGAAACCTAATGTTGTAAGTTTTTATATTCTTAACTTTTCTTAATTCCTTTTTCGTATTCATAGTCTTAACTTTTTTACTTTAATAAACCTTTTATTGTGATAAACAAATATTTATCTATACTTTGGGTTGTTTATTTAATCTTCTACCAACAATTATTTTAATTAAATAGTTATTTAAATTATTTTTTCTTCTTATAAATCATTTGTTATGATTGTTCTTATAATAGTTTTATGTGTAACTTCGCATTGATTAATATTTGTTCCTCGCTATTATTGAAACATTACATAAATTGGTAATTAAATATAAATTTAGGTTTTACAAACAAAAATCCTACAAAAACAGTTTTCCCCATTTAAATATAAAATTATAATTTAGAAAATATTTTTCGAAAACTTGTAGATATTTAGACAACATGGCATTATTGTCAAGGGAATTGCATGGCTAGGCGGTTCTATAAAAATATTATTGACACTTTTATGATAGGAGTCTTTGCCCAGCAAAGTGATGTTATAATGTTGTGTTTTTAACATTACTTTTGGAAAGTCATATTTAGGTGACATTTAGGTCTCTATGAAATGACCAAATGATTATAATTGTTCAAATGATTTATGATCTTATTTTTCATATACCATTGAAACATGCTAATAAATTGTCATCGAAGTCATTTTTTGAAGACAATCAGTTCAGCATTAATTATTTTCTAAAAGATTTTAATTTTCTTACATGAAATAACAACATTTCACAACTACTGCATTAACTATATTAGGTACATTATCTTTATGTTTACATTATTTTTATGTTTCAGATTTTTCATATGATATATATTTATAGGATATAGAAGAATGCAATAATGTTAATTTTGCAATAAACTCTTTAATTCAAAAGTATTTGAATTTAGATTTATTTTTTTTAATAAATAAAAAATGCCTAGGGTTATATTGGGGCTAAGTGTCAAAATTAGTGGCCCTAATTGTTTATAAATAAATGTCATGTAATTCAAACAAAATATTTAACTACAAAAAAAAAAAAAAATATTTACAATATTAATGTTAAAACTGTACATAATCCAACAAAAAATATTTACAATATTAAAGTTAAAACTGTACATAATCAATCAAAAATAAGTAAAGAACTCTTTACACCTTTAAGGCTATTCCATGCATGTTCAAATTTAGAATAAACTCTCCCCATTGTTCAGCAATCTGTCTTTACATCTTAGTTTCCTCAGCTGATTACCTATAGTTATTTATATAAAAGCCATTAAAATATTAGGAAACTCTTGTTTTAAGCAAACTTTTCTAAATGAGTACAAGTTTTTATTTATAAAAAACTCCCTCCTATCTAGCCAATTTTACCAGATTTTACTACCCAGATATAACTTGGTCTAACAAAAAAGGAAACCCGATATCTCACTCATCAAAATCTTTAAAATTCATAAATTCAATCCGCAATTGTTTCCTCACACAACATATATCTAAACCAACCCACTTCAGAAAAAATCAAAAACCAACTACTATCGATCTTATAATAACATCCGTGGAAAACATAATTTCACCAATAACCCACCTTGCTCCAATTGGAAAAAGTCATCATCACCTTTTATACTTTACCGTACTAACCGATCCAATAGATAAACCAACTCATACTATTAATAAGCAATTATTCTCTAAAGGAAACTATAATAAAATTAATAAAGATCTATCAACCTTAGTGTTAAATCAAAACTATAATTCAGAACAACTTTGGGATACATTCTACACAAACCTTAAAAACACTATTAAAAAAAATGTTCCAAAATCCTCAACAAAACCTAAAAAGCGTTCACAATGGATAACCGCCCAAGTAGCAGAAGAAATAAGAAATAAACAAATTAAATATCAAGACTACATTCATAAACGGAATGGTAAAACTTACTTTGACTATTGTCGAGCGCGTAACAGAACTAAAGCAGCTTGCAGAAATGCTATAATAAATTTTGAAAAAGAAATTGCTAAAAACATCAACAAAAATCCTAAAGCTTTTTTTTCATACATAAAATCAAAAAATCTTATAAAAAATCTCATTCCTGAAATAGTCCACAATAAGATAGTTGCTACCACCGATCTTGAAAAGGCTCAATGCTTCAATAATTACTTTGCTAGTAATTTTTCTGATAATGATACATTGATTGTTCCAAGTTTTAACTTATCTTCTATTTGTCCCAGTCAAATCTCTAATAATCTTGATCTATCTCCTGAAAACATTGCATCTCATCTTCTGTCTATAAAGTCATTTAAATCACCGGGTCCAGATGAGATACATCCCAAAATATTAAAAGAAACCCATCACCAAATCTCTAAACATCTTTCTATTATTTATACTAAGGTACTTCAAACTAGTACATTACCACAAATCTGGAAAGATGCAAATATCATTCCAATTTTCAAAAAAGGAGACAAGAAACTAGTTACCAACTATAGACCCATTAGTTTAACATGCACTATAGTCAAAATATTTGAAAAAATAATACAAAAACATATTTTTATTCATCTTTTAAAAAATAATCTACTAACTCCTAGTCAACACGGTTTTTATCCAGGGCGCTCTTGTGAAACAAATCTTCTTACTGTAATCAATACATGGACACTTAATTTAGATAAAGGTCTTCCCGTCGATAATATTTACCTTGACTTTGAAAAAGCATTTGACAAAGTCCCACACGACTATCTTCTTTTGAAACTAAAAGCCTATGGGATTAATGGTCCAATTCTCTCTTGGATAAGAAACTTTCTCACAAATCGAAGACAAAGAGTAATGATAAATGGTAATTACTCTGATTGGGTATCAGTAAAAAGTGGAGTTCCCCAAGGTTCTGTTCTCTCAGCTCTATTATTCATTATATACGTTAACGATATTCCCAATATAATTACTTCAAATGCAGCACTTTTTGCTGACGATACAAAAATATTTTAACCTATTACTAATTTGCATTCACACACCGTACTTCAAAATGATATTGATATCTTGGTTGACTGGGCAACTAAATGGGGGATGAAATTTAATATAGAAAAATGTTCAGTTTTACACCTAGGTCATAAAAATAAACATCTTGTCTATTCTATGTACGATCCAGTGAAGAAAACAAGGATTGATATCAAATCTACCAACTCAGAAACTGACCTCCAATTTGTAAACCTTAATAATAATAATAATAATTTTGCCATCATCCAAGTTTGCTGAACAGTTTATAGTAAGTTTTCCAAACAGTATGGACAGTTTATTCTAGATTTAAACCTACACAGTGCAAATTTAAAAATACTCAATATGTAGAACGGCATAGTCAATACGTAGATCAACTCTGAAAATTGTTTTAATGGAAGAGTTTAATTGGACATAATTATTATTTTAGCATATTTAAATTAATGATGTAAATTGAATATGTTTAAATATGCTTTGCTCCAATTGTAACCCTTGGCATTTTTTCTTTAACTTTAAAAATACAATTTTATAAAATAAATACCCTTGAATATTATTTTGCCCCATTTAAAACTCTTAGTAATTTATTCAGATTATAAAATTCTTCTATTGTTATAATACAAATACTGTGACATAAAACAAGACATAAATTATCTGAATGACATGTGTCATCTGAGTGACACATATCACAACATAAAACTTAATAAAAACAAAATAATAGGACAAAATAATTATAATTAATCATAACAACTGGTTTTTTAATGTTAGCAGTAAACAAAAATAATTTTACCTTAATTTTGAAGACTTCTTGTTTCTGCCTAACTGATGACTTATGATTAATAAATAAAATTTCAAACCATGAAACTTTACTAAATTAAAATCATGTTTCAATAGTAGGCTAACTAATAAAATAATAACGAAGTCATAGCTAAAAAAAGAAAAAAGAACATTAGAATTGAAAAATTCAAACAGCTATTCCATTTTCACTAATATTGTTAACATACTGCTAACAAGTATATTATTATATACATTTAATTGGTTGTATATAGTCAATTTCTAAACCTTACGTTTTCGGTCTTTTGGTCTTATCAACATGTCATGGTTGATCCCTTAAAAATGTAAAGACTTGCTAGTACAGATTTAAAATTTTTCTAAAATAAAGGAAACCATAATCATGTATTAGGAACACTTTTCACTGACATATTGGTCTTTAAAATGTCATCAGTGATCTTTGAGCTGCATCACAGTCAGTAAGTAGACAAATTTATTGTTGCTTTCATTAAAGCAAAATTATCAAAAAAATGTTTTTTGAAAAAACGTCTGCTCACTCTAAACTGACATCTTGTCACTTCTAAACTGTCGAACCATTACAAATAAAATATAAAACCATTTTCTAATAAACAAATTGTTGCTTTTATAAAACAAAAATAATGTAATATCATTTGTTAATTTTATTTTTGTTTACTCTAAACTGTCATTTTGTCATTTCTGAACTGACATCTAACTCAACTGTCATGTAACCAAAAAATTAAATATAAAAAAATTTTCTAACAAACAAAATGATCATTCTAAACTGTCATGTGGTCACTTCTAAACTGTCATTTAAGCAAACTGTCATTTAACCAAAAAGCAAAATTTAAAACTATGTTCAAATTAACAAATAACAAAACAAATTTCTCTAAAATAACTTCAAAACAAACAAAATATAAATAAAAAATTTATAATGAATTGAATGATAAAGCAAATTTAAAGTATAGAATAGCAAATAAAGGTAAAAAGTATTTTATCTCAGTAGAATCAAATCATAGACGATTGTGTAGTTATTTTTAAAGCAAAATTAATTAGGCTTTATATCAAAAAACAAACAAATGAACATTCAAAGGAAACTTTTTTATATATTGATAAGTAAATTTAATCAAAAAAAAATATATATATATATATATATATATATTTATATAAATATATATACATATATATATATATATATATATATATATATATATATATATATATATATATATATATATATACACATATATATATATACATATATATATATATATATATATATATATATATATATATATATATATATATATATATATATATATATATATATATATATATATACATATATATACATATATATACATATATATACATATATTCATATATTCATATATATATATATATATATATATATATATATATATATATATATATATATATATATATATATATATATATATATATATATATATATATATATATATATATATACATATATACATATATACATAAATATATATTATATTATATACTTAAGCATTTTGAATTACAGTTTTTACAAAACCAAAATCTAGATTTTGGGGACTTTTTCAGGCTAGCACATTGAAAGTGGTAGCAATTCAGACATGAGTCACAACTAATACATTCTTCTTCAACTCTTTCTTTACAAACTGTGCATGTCCAGTTAGGTGCAAGCTTCACCTTATCAATAACTTGATTAACCAGCAGCCATGCTTCCTTTGTAAAGAATGCTTGTATACTCCCAACATTAATAGCATCATCTATTATGCTGGGGTGTACTTTTTCTGGGCATACCTCTACACTATTTTTATCCATCAAAGAACCCTCCATAGCTTTTTTAACATCCTCTTTAGACAATAACCAACAAAGCATAACTGAAATTAAAATTAAAAAAATTATATAAAAATATTAAATATTGAAAAATATGAAAATTACATTATTTGAAAGATTTACTTTCAAATTTTTCATTAGGTTGTTTTTGGATAAAAGGAACTGGTTTTCCATTAGAAGCCTGTCTATACTTTTTTTTCTTGGAAGGCAATCCAATTACTGTGAGCTCTGCTCCTTTAGGACGCCCTCTCTTTGCAGTAAAAGGAGGAAATTTTATCATCGAAATATCTAAAATAAATACAATTACATTGAAATAAATTTAATCTAAAAAAAATTTTTTTTTATTATATATTTTTTTTGCAATAGTTTTCAAATAAAATGCACAGATTCACCATGACTGCAACTACCTGGCAAAAAATCTACATTGTTTTTATTTTTACTGGTGCTCTCCCCTTGAATGTGTCCTTCTATCTCATCATTGTTATGCTCTACAATATTAACTTTATCCTCATTGACTATATCTTCTATATAATAGAAATTAATAAAATCAACTGTTAAAAAAAAATTTAAAAGGAAATATGCTCCCAAAAATAATTCATAAATAAAGAATATAAAAATTGATTAGTCAAGTAAAAGATTTAAAGTCTATCTGATTTTTTCAACTGTTTTCAAGTCAGAAATATACTGTTTATATAGTAAATATAACTGTTTCAAAAGAAATATATTGCACAGATTCAATACTGTGACTACCTGGTTCTTCATTATGCAATAAATCCTTATTGCTTTGCATCTTACTGACATGCTTTTCTACTTGAATGTCTACTTCGTCATCATCAATGTTGTGATTTATACCATCAACTTTATCTCCATTGGCTATATCTTCTATAAAAAGCAATAACTAAAATCTATCATGTTAAAAATCTTTTCAAAGTAATATGCACCTAAAAATAATTTATAAATCAAGAATATATAACTGAATTAAAATAGCGCCTATCTGTTATTTTTAATCAACAGTTTATAAGTTAAATAAAACATAATGCACAGATTCACCACGACTATTTGTTATTTTTTTTCAACAGTTTTTAAGTTATATAAAACATAATCCACAGATTCACCACGACTATCTACCTGGTTCTACAGTAAATGATAAATCGTTATTATTCATGTTACTGATAGCTACTTCTATGTCATCATTGCTGTGCTCTAGATTTTCAACATGGACTTCATCTACTTTAAAAATAAATGCAGTGATTAAATAATATATAAATATAAAGTATATATATAAAATAAATATAAAAACAAATATAAGGTCTATATATATATATATATATATATATATATATATATATATATATATATATATATATATATATATATATATATATATATGTATATATATATATATATATATATATATATATATATATATATATATATATATATATACATACACAGTTTATAAATAAAGTGTATATTTACATATAAAAATTTATATGTTTTCATATAACTAATTAATATTAAAGTATAAACTACAATTATATTTAAAAATAGATTACAATATTATCACTAAAAATGGTTTCTATTTATATTTAACTACACTAACCATTTCTTTTTTGTATGCCAATATCAATACCTTTTTTCCAAAAATCTAAAACATTTGCAAGTAAGTCATATCTATTCTCATATTCCCTCATAGGAGACTCTGATACAATGGAGCCCAATTTATGACACAGTTGTAAAGTTTTTTTGTATTTTTCATTTTGTGACAAAATTGCAGTTGTTTTTGCTTTTTTATTACTGGTAACTACACCATATTGACCAGGATTACCCGGCGCCAGAGATTTTGCAACATGATGCTTTGATTTGTAGTAGTCTAATGACCATCTTGGTGAACACAGTGTTCTGTTAAATAAATCAACTTCTTCCACTTTTCTAACTGCAAAAATATGTCTACATGGCAATAGCATTGCAGACCTGAACCCACAATCACAAGACAGAACAGTCACTTTTAATTTAGCATATGTTGTTGTAACTTCATATTGGTTTTGAGGAAGCTTTTTTAATGACCTTACTTCTGATGCTAATTCTAATTCCTTTAAAACAAAACTAAATGCATAAGGTGTTAGCAATTTCTTGTAAGACTCTTCAACAGAGCCAGGTTCATAAAGAATAACAGGTCTTTTATGAAAAATATTTATTGCTTTGTGATCTTGCATTACCCTTGTGGACTGTAAAAATACCAAAAAATCGTCAAAAAACTGTCCAAGGTTTGTGTTTCTAGAACAAACTTGTTTTATTTTTTGATTTAAAGATTCCAGTCTGTTATTGGTTCTGTTCAGGAATGTTAGATTTGTTGATTTCAGACCCTCAACCCATTCATTGTGTATTTTATGCCAATTGTCTTCAAAATAACAAATAACACTATTAATTTTTGTTGATTTCAGAGACTGATAAAGGTTGGCATAGTCTTCTTCTGTTTTTGCATAAGTCATTTTTTGCAAAATCTCTAAACATAAACGTCTCTGTTCAGATGTAATACCCATCTTCTCTAATGTCAATTCCCTTCTAAAGGTCCTTAAGACATGGAACAAACATAAATGCAAATTTGCTTGTGGGAACTCTATTCCTAAAATTTGTCTCTCTGTCATATCTTTATCTGACATAATATTTAATGTTTTTTCCCAATTAGGATTGACCTTCTTAAAAATGCGTATCATTAATTCAATCATTTTTTTTTCCTCATTTGCTACCAGAAATGTTGCAAATATCTCACTATGGCCATTACCATCCTCTCCTAACAAAATATATAATGGCATATTCAAATTGTTAAGTTTGTATGTGGAATCAATAAATAGCATTTCTGGAAATGCAGAGAAACAATCCTTCATTGCCTGGTCTTGATAAAAAATACCCAGCAAATTATTGTTTTCATCTGCAATAACTTCCGTTGTTGACCCTAGAAAGATGATTAAAAAGCATGCAATTATCTTACAGGAAGAACTTTTCAAAATTATGTTTAAAAAAATTTCAAACATTTTTTGATTTACAAATTGTTTATTTGCTTCTCACTTTGATTTACAAATTGTTTATTTGCTTCTCATTCTTTCATTAACAAAATTTCAAAAACATATAAAATAGCTACACTCATTAGGGGACGTAATTGCTATAAAGCAACTAAAATTTTATTGTACTGAGTTTTTTCTTTAGAACCCTAGGGAACCGTTTATAAGGGTTACAATCTATAAAATAATTTAATAAACTGCTAAATAGTAACAAAAACATAAAAGGAAGAGCTATTTTTTTATCTTAAAAAGATGTAACTTTTTTAAGCATTTCTTACCTTCATTATTTTGCAATTTTTTAACAATACTTTCTACATTATTTTTTTCTATGGAATATGTGACATGTTTTGCTTTTATATTCGACAGGTCACGACCTGTTATTACTTTCCCAGTAATGTTTTTCAAATGATTTTGCAAGATTATCTTATTGCATCGCATCTTAAGTAGTTTGACTGCTTCATCAGAAGCAGATCCAGTTAACTTTCTTTGATGAGGTAGATGAGAGAATGCTACCTAAAAAAAAAAAAAAAAAGAAGCGATAACACTGTCAGTATCTGTTTATCTAAATTTTTTTATTCACCCTTATACTAAAATAAATAAAAAAAATTTTAAACAAAGTTACCTTACTACACTGATGGTTATGATTCATATTTAGAGATGCAACTTTAAGACAAGAACCATCTTTTTCAACTGTTAATATTATTTCCACTGGGCAATTCATTTTGAATGTACTTAATCATAATTTTTTTTTTTATTACAGTTACAAAAGTTTGTTCAACAATTTTTAACCTATCTTTCCAGTACATCATAAAAACTTAATGAACATGATATAGAAATGAAAATCATCCTATCTTTTTACAAAACTTATAATATATTATAGTAGAAATTAAAATATTATACTATATTTTAATTTATAAATATTTAGATTATACAAAACAAGATTATACACAACAAACAGTAAAAATTATTAAAACTCACCTTTGATTTGGTCTTCTGCCTTTTGACTTGGATACAAACTTCTTTCCTCCTGCAATACATGCAAAAACTATATAGGAATATTTCAGCTCTGGCTTTATTATCTTTCCTGGCGTGCGTTTTAATGCTGATGCTATGCTTCTGCTATCTTTTATATAAAACTGGGAATAAGTTGTCTTTTGCAACGTTTCTATCGCCTTCTTCAAATCACCAAAAGAGGAAAATGCCCTGCCAATTTCAAAAGTGTCCATTGTAGAATAACCTTAAATTGTGATTAATAAATTGCGAAATTGTGATTTAGAAATAACTTGATTTAGGAATAAATCGAGATTTTAAGTATTTATATATGCGCGCGCATGTGTGTCGGAAGAATAGCCATTTGATTAAAAGTAGTTATTATTCCGGTGTCGGAACAATAACCACAGCCACAATGATATGAAGATATTACTAAATATCGGACTTCGCCGTTTTTAGTGAAGCCAATTTAATAGGCCGGGTGATTAAAATTAGCAATTGCTTTAACTCAGTAATTGGTCAGCTTTACGTAAATAAAAATCTTAATAGTTTTGCTCAAATTTTTATTCACGTAAAGTTAAGCAGCTTACTCAGTAATTGCTCAGATTTTCGTAAATAAAAACTTAATTAAAATTTTTAAAGTTTTTGTTCACGTAAAGCTGACCAATTACTGAGTAAAAGCAATTACTAATTTTTATTCACCCGGCCTAATATTGTGTTATACGTTGGAGGCCAATATTATATCGGGCAAAAGCTTTCAGTGGATCATAGTCAATTGAAAGGAAATTTGCAATTTTAAAGTTTTGATTAAAGTTGCAATCAAATATGATTATTTAAAAGATAATAAATGTGATAAACCTACATTCAATATAATTTTGTTTTGGTCATAGAGATTTGTGTTACTACAACAAATAGTAAGTTTAACAAAAATTATTTTTTAATATGTTTACATTTCTCTTTTAACATGTTTAATAACATATTTGCAAAAAGAATTTAAACAAAAACATCGTAATGTATTTTAATCTTTTATACTTTAAAATTAAACATTTGTAAACCATTGAATAATAATAATTTATTTGTTGTCTTAATCCAATTGTTGACTTCTTTACTAAACTTTAGCTACATCTTTATCTACAACAAATAGTAAGTTTAACAAATATTATTTTTTAATATGTTTACATTTCTCAATAATTGCAAATTTAATTTTTATCAAAACTTTTTTGCCTTAATTCCATTCTCAACTGTATTGAGTGGAAAGCTTAAAAATATTTTTATTGTATCTTTAAAAAAACCTGTTCATATATGCATGTATTTCAGATCACTTGCAATATTTATTTTTTATTACGTTTTTTTAACCTTAGTTCCATCTACATGTGGTATAAATGGCATGTTTACAAATTATTACTTTTCAATATGAATATGCATTTCTTAGCAATCGCAATTTTTATTTTTTATTACAACTTTGTTAACCTTTAGTTACAAGTGTTAATCAAGCTGTAGCAGCTGCTACAAGTGGTAATACAAGTGCCTTATAAACAATTATTTTTTAATATATGTATCTTTTATGTATGTGTTAAAATGTTGTTTTAAATATGTGCATGCCTTTTTTATAAATTGCAAATAAAATTTGATTCTATTACAACTTTTTTTTACCTTTAGTCCCACAACCTCCTCAACATGCTCGACAACCTTCTGCTGGTAAATTTATGATTTGGAAACGTTTCTGAATAGTTATTTAATTCATAATATTTTTATTTTTATACACTAATTAATACATTTAACAATACAAAACGCAGCAAAAGTAAAATCCAGTACAGTGTTTAAATTTTTACTTTAATTAACATTTGTTATGCTTTCATTTTTTTAACATTCTATCTATTTTCATATATTGATATAGGGACCAGCACCCTGGACCGAGTAGCATTGGTCATTTTTGTGATGGGTTATGAGAGAATGATGGTGAATTATTCAGCTTAGCCCATCATCCTCCTAACAGGGTACTGGGAGCAGAAGGGGATATCACCATGAGGAGAGCGTGGTTTTATTTATATACATATTTTGTATTGTGAAACTTTTTAAAATATAAGTTTTAAAACTTTGGGTTCTTTTTAGGGTGGATACTCAAACCTGCATCTTGTAATGTGGTAAGATTTGTAAAGTTTTGTCTCTTTTTTAACACAATTTAAAGACATTTTCAAATTTTTTATTGACATTTTTTTATAATTTGAATAAGAAGAGGCTGGGGGGCATTGGATGTGGCACACACCCCTACCCTTACTAACATGGTAAAAATATTATTGTCTTAACGATTAATTCAAGCTTTTTTTTTTGTTTTCTTCTATACATTGCTTCTTTAAAATATCTTGAGAAACTTTAATAGGAAAATTGTTAATTTTAGCATATTATAACAATGTATGACTTATTATGAAATCTGTTAACAGTTTTCTCACAATCGTTTAAAACTTTTATAGCATTATGTCAGGTATTGAATGGTTCTTTAAACAGTTTATTTAATATATCATGTGGTATAAATGGTATGTTTACAAATTATTACTTTTCAATATGAATATGCATTTCTTAGCAATCGCAATTTTTATTTTTTATTACAACTTTGTTAACCTTTAGTTACAAGTGTTAACCAAGCTGTAGCAGCTGCAACAAGTGGTAATACAAGTGCCTCATAAACTATTATTTTTTAATATATGTATCTTTTATGTATGTGTTAAAATGTTGTTTCAAATATGTGCATGCCTTTCTTATAAATTGAAATAAAACATCAATAGGAAAATTGTTAATTTTAGCATATTATAAAAATGTATGGCTTATTATGTAATCTGTTAACAGTTTTCTTACAATCGTTTAAAATTTTTATAGCATTACGTCAGGTATTGAATGGTTCTTTAAACAGTTTACTTAATATATACATGTGGTATAAATGGTATGTTATTACTTTTCAATATGAATATGCATTTCTTAGCAATCGCTAATTCAATACGTCAGGTATTGAATGGTCCTTTAAACAGTTTACTTAATATATCAATATTATCATTTTGGAATATTTAACTCTCTGTGCTTACTTTTGAAAACTTCATTGATACCCTTGAATGATATATCAGATACATTAACGCTTCGTATAAATAATGATGGTGTACCTTTATCAAGATGTTTAGTTTTATGTATTTGGCCTATTCTTGGTATGGTAAAAGAACTACCTCATCTTGGTGTCTTTACAATAGGCATCTACTCAGGAACTTCCAAGCCTAACCGTGTAAATGATTATTTAAAAGCTTTTGTTGATGATATGTTGACAGTAGCAAAAATTGATGTATTTTTTAATGACAAAAAATTTAATATTACTTTTGATGGTTTTATTTGTGATGCACCTGCAAGATCATTTTTAAAGTGTACGAAAGGGCATTCTGGATATTATGGCTGTGAAAGGTGTACACAGAAAGGGGAGTACTTTAACAATCGTATAATATTTCCTGAACTTTCTCCTCCTTTAAGAACTGATGAGCAATTTAATGCATTTATTTGACATGGTCATCATAATGGAAAATCTTCTTTGCATGACACAAGTATTGGTGTTGTTGGTCAATTTGTTTTAAACTATAAATATATAAAATTTACTATATAAAATGTAAACGTCTTATATTTTTGTAAATAATAAAATCGACTTAGTTAACTTGTCTTTTTTTTTTGTTAGTTTATTAAAAAGTATGTTTTTTCTCAAAAAACTCAAAAATCTTGTCGAGTTGAAACATTTTCTAGACATTTATAAATTGTTTTATTTAATAAGCAAGTGTATGATAAAATGCAATTGCAAGCTTGGTCGTAAGTTTAAGTATAAAATTACCCCTCTATCATGAATATTTGTCATCAAAAAAATGTAGAACAAAGGCAATTCATTACAGGCGCTAACTGGAATTCATAGAGGGTAACTAAAGAACGGCAGAAATCGTTTTTCGCAGTTTTACTGGTTAGCCCATGTGAGTCCCAGTTGGCGCCAGCGGTTAAACTTATATGGGTCACATATGGTTAGCCCACGTCGGTCCCATATAACTCCCATGTGTGTCCCATCATTCGTTGTTGGCTGGGTATATACTGTCGTGCGGGACATTTACAAACAGTTATAAACTGATGACGTATAAAGACCTAAAAGTTTACTTATACCACATTCGATCCTGAATAAAACGTTATATAAGTGGATTTTTTATATTTTATAAACAATATACATAAACAAATATCATATTTGTTTATAAATATTGTTTATATATAGTTGGTTACGCGCCAACCCTACCTCTTACACAACAAAGTTAAAAAAAATAATTAGTTTTATATTTAAAAACGATTTATATGTTTCTTTGCAAACACCGATATAGTATACTTAAAATTTTTAAATGCACTGAACTGCAATTACTTTTAATTTTTTTCGTTTAGTAGCTATTATAGCTAGAAGCTTATTAGTATTTGTTAAGAGCTTTTTGCGTCAAACTATTTCATTTCAAGATATTGGTTGTATCATCTATTCTGCAGCCGTTTTTCAAAACGCTTTAAAAAAAAATCAGTTTTGACTTTTTTACAAAATAAGCTAGTTTAGATGCCTACAAACTTTATTGAATAGATATTTTTAAAGAGTTCTAAAAAAATTCATAAAAATTGTTCGTTTTACAAAGAGTTTAAATTTTTTTTTAAGCGTTTTTCTTGAAATACGTAATAAGCATATTAAGGCGTTTTGAAAAACAGTTGCAGCATATATTTATAGTAAAAAAGTAATTGTAGCAAAATAAACTTTTAATTGTAAAAAGAAAGTTTAAAAGTTTTATCTAGCTTCGGTTTTTTTTTTTTTTTTGTCTCCGGATAGACCGTCTTGAGAAGCAGGACTTTCTTATTAAGTTTTTTCATCATTAGGTTGCAGACAACTTTTTTTATAGACCTTCCGGAACTTATTAGGACTAATTACCTGAGCATATCAATCCTCGCAGCCGGAAAGTCACGTGGTTATACAAAATAACAAAAGCGCAAGTTGTTACCATCTTCGATGGGGAAAAACAAATGATTAGTTGAGTTAATAAAGCAGGAGAATTTGTACGAAAAAGTGATTTAAAGGGTTTAAAAAAAAAAAGTCGGTTTACGATTACTTTGGAAAGATGATCAAACTGAATGGCCATGAGTTTAAGACCATGACGTTTTTAAATATTTAATAAAAAGTCCTACAATATTTTCTATAGGCTATAGAGGCTATAGATAATTACGAAGCATTAGATGCTTATAAATCATCATCTAAAGACACAACAACTCTTGGGCATTTTAAAGAATTCTATGTTTTGCTATTGTTTTTGTTTAAGAACGAAAGTTTATTTTCCCCCAACTAAAATGGTAGCTGTTCGCGGCAAAGAATATGACGTATATCCGACTGCGAGAATAGCATAAGTATCTCATTGATGACACATACGCAACAAATTTTTTTCTACCGGTGACGTTTTTTTTGATGTTTTATTATGAAATTTTAGCTTTCTTTAAATCTATTATTTTGTTAAAGTGTATAATATCTTTGTATATAATCTCTATAAAACTTCAAAAATATTTTGTATTTTAAAATAAACGAAAAAAACAAAAAAATAACAAATCGTCAGTGAACCTCGACTTACTTGTACAAGACGCGTACAAGGAATAAATTTAGTATGTATAAATACAAATGGTATTTAAATCAGGCCCGTAGCCTGATTTAAATACCATTTCTTTAAATGGGAAGCACTTTTCAAAAGGCGTAAAAAATAAAATAAAAATTAAAGCGTCCAAGGCCAATTTTTGGGAGATGATTAATTTTATTTTTTGTGTTTTCAAGACGGTTTCGCCTTGCTCTTTATTTATTTTAAAATAGCATATAAAAAAACTAAGTTATGGAAAAAATAATAGACAATATTTGTATTTTTAAATCACAAGTATTTTTTAATGGATTGTTTTCAGCAACACGTAATCTATTTCAATTTTTTTTGCAAATTCTGAGCAGCTATACTTTCTTAAGTTAAGTTTAACGAACAAAATAACTGCCAACCCAGCAAACAATTCATGTCATTGTACAATTCATTGTCATTGTATGTTGTTTCTTTAAGTTATAGTTTCAATAGTTTTAGTCCATTTAACTTTACAGTTAAGTAAAGACAATTCAAAAACTTCAACCATGAAAGATTCTTTTTCTAGATTTCATCTCGTCTTTCAAATCCTTTAATACTACGGCAACTTTCGATAGTTGGAAGTAAAACCAACCAATGAATCTTTCAGAATCCTAGCAATTTTTGATATTCCAGACCGGCCTCGTCGCAGAAATTCTCTTAACTAGAAACTCGATTAGTAATACAGTAAAAAAAAAAAAAATTTGAGAAATCATTATCTCCTTATCAATAGATAAACAACTAGATGCAGTGTTTATTGCGTTTGATAAAAAATGAGCATTTCAACCGATACCAATAATTTTACGGTTTAGCTTAACGTTTTGTGAATATTGTTGCTAACGTTTCGTTTTAAACCTCCAAAATTAGTATAGGTGTTGTATGCAGAAATAGCCACAACATTTGAAGAAATATTGTTAGCACTAATGTATTTAAAGATAACTTCTGATAAAATATCTGATGTTTCTCCATTTACACAATTCATATTAATCAGCTGGATTTGCAATCCTTCTTCAGCATCAAAATAACGAGCTAAAATTAAATACATTTTAACGTCCTTGTGGTTTGATGCATCAGAAAGAATTGACACTTATGATGCTTTTAATAAAGCAATTTCTGATTTAGTTTCACGATATTTCTTGAACACGTTTATAATTACGCGCTTAAGCAAATCTTGGATTATAAAATTTCTTAATTAACTATGAGCATTTCTAAAGCTATGGTTGTGTTTGATTATGTGGAAAGCAATTGCTTATTCATGAATGGGTTTTTTTTCATTTTGAACAATGCTCTGACTATCAGTAGCGGCTTAAGTCTTCTTGGTGCCCGAGGCTATTTTTGTTTTTGAATGCCTTTATATGGGCCAGAGCCTAAAAAATACTGAAAGAATAAATAAATTCCTCTAAAAATTTTTGGGGCCCCTAAATTTTCAGGGCCCAGGGCTATAGCCCCCCTAGCCCCATTTTTCCGGCACTGGTGACTATTCATCAACTTTTTGATTTTGTTTGGCGATATTGAAGTATTCAATGCCATTTTGTGTTTGAAGATTTGCAATGATCTTCAATTGCAGACCGTCCACAACTACAAATGTCAAATAGGCTTTGAAAATTAGTACATTTTAGAAGACCATCTTTGATCTGCGTTAAGAAAAGAAACATTTTTCTTTAATTTATCATTAAATGTGTTTAACCTTCTCTTCTTACTATTCATTTTTTGAATTTGATGTATAAATAGTTGTAAAAACTTTAAATAACTTTTTTATGAACACTTATTTTTATGAACTTCTTATTAAAACAAATCGCAAAGCATTATTTACAATAGTAGGGTAAGGTTGCGTAAGATGAGCAGGTTCCAAAGATGGTATAACCTCATTTACGGGTAGAATAATGATTTTTTCGCAAACTTTTTTGGTTAAGGATATTCTTAAAAGTTCGACGGTGTTATTTATTTTAATTTCTTGGTTATTTAGTTAATATTCTTTGATTGTTTTACTGTTAAAAAAATTTACCATCCCCGTTATAATTTTTTATTATTCAATATTTTGTAATTACGTCAAAACGAAACAAGATCTTTAAAAATTTCTTAAATCCTCAATATTTTATGCTTTTCTACTAATAATTCCATGGGTTACTTGAGATATACATTAGCTGTTGTCATGCTATTTAAATTATGATGAAGTTGCTTAAGATGATACGTTTTTAGACGCTCAAAATGAGTTTATTTAAAAGCTTTATTTTTGTATTTCAAGAGTGTAAGTTTTTTCAAAAAAAAAGTATAATTAACTTTTTTAGAGATTAGAAAGATTTATTGTTTTTTTTTATGGTTGAGATAATTACTTTTTACTTAAGTATAGTCCTTGAAGATAAATTTTATGTAATTTTTCTTTGTGATTATCCAGCAAACATGCTTTCAGCGGACCGCGATGCGCAAAGCCGCCGCCGGAAACCCGGTGCTGGCCCTTTGTGATTCCTAATGCGGCTTTCCGCTGCCGGGTAGCTGATGCAGGACCGGCATGCTATTTTGTGTTGGCCTTCCGCCATCGGCTGAAGAGCGATAAAACACCTCGTTGCCAATGCGATAGTTATCATTGTGATATTTTATGAATATTTGGTAATTTTTTATTTATATTGGCGTTTTAATATCTATGCAGCATGCAAAACCCTGATCATGTCTAGGCAACCTCTCAGACCTTTTCCGAGGCCTATTTCACAGAGACAACCAACTACTGCTCATTTTTTCTTAAAAAAGAACAGCAATTGGTTGCCCCCCTCGAGTAGGTCTCGAAAACGGTCCGGAGGTGCCGAGTTGTGACCAGGATTTTGCTCTTAAACTTTGGTTATTATTGTACTATTTTATGAAGTTTGATTAATTTTTTATTTTATATTTGCATTTTAATACCTTTGCTTGCACAATTATGTATCATTAATTTTGAAAAACTGCAGTTTTATAGACAAAATAAGCTTTAATCTTCAGGTTATATTGTCACATAGATTTATTTATACATCTACTACAGTCATTATAGGTATGCAAACATTATAAGATGTCAAATGTCCAGGGGCGATCTCCTCTGAGTGTATCATTGCAAGCGGGTAGCACGTAACAGAATACACCTCACACATTTTTTTATAAGGGGTGTGGTTTAAATTCCCAGTGACGAGGACAAAATCAGCAGTCAAATGCCAGATGGCCGGAGAAAGAACAAGATCAGATGTTGAATGCAAAATATCTAATGCCACATTTGACATCTAATTTCGCTCTTGTTCTCACCATCTACCATTTGACAGCTGGTGTCAAATGGCAAATTAAGCATTTGACATCAATAGGATTTGACATCAATACAATGTACAATTTTATTACTTTTTATATATATTTTTAACAAACATTACTTTTTTTTATTTTTGTTTATTTGCCCGAGTATCTAACTTAGAATTTTCCGGATTTTAAAGAATATTTATATGATTGTCAGGGTTATTAGGGTATGTCAACTTTCACCTTTTTTTTAGTTTCTATATACGGTTTTTTATTCATTGTAAATATTATCAAAAGCAAAAAATTAATTTTAAATATATATCTATATTTAGTTACATTTTGTTACCAAGAACTTAGTATCAAGAACTTGTATTTATTCCTAGTGACGGATTCTTGGTGTAGTAAAGGCACTCTTAAAAAATATTAATAGGTCTGTAAGATATTTTGTTGACTACGACATATTTCAGTTAAATGATCAGGTCTGTAAATTATAAATAGATTAAAGTGATATATTTCGCGGTATAATAAAATATAAAGTTTGTAGCAAAAAAACTTAGACCAAAAATTCTTTTTTTTTTTTTTTTTTTTTTTTAAATCATCTTAAAATCACAATCGCTCGTCCAAATTTGAATAAGATTTTAAACTAATACGTTTTTTAGTTGAAATGAGCATTAATGTTTAACAATTTTCTGGTCGTTAATTAGCAATTTTCCATAATTATAAGCTCTTTCTTGGTCGGAATTCTAGTATTTTTTGTTAAAATTTCTAGAAATATTGTGTTTTGACAACTATATATTGTTAATATACGTCAGAACCGATTAGAATTAGTAAATTAAGGAACTTTTTCAAAAGATTTTAACTAAATTCATGTTATTGCCGATGAGCAGAATTGATCTAAAGGCTCAAAAATAGTGTTTTTTAGATTCACTATTACTGGTAGTAAAAAGGTTTTAAAAATTATATTAAAAAAAAAAAGTTTCTTAAAATATTAAAAAATCTTAAGCAAAAAAAGTTCTAACCGTCTAAAGTTTTTGTTTGGACAATAAGCTAGTAAAGCTAATAATTGGACAATTGGAAAATAAAGCTATAAATTGGACAATAAAGCTAATATTTGAACAATAAGCTATTAGAAGCTAATATAAAATCACGCTAATTTCAAATAAAAGTATTTGAATAATTTTTAAATTGCCTTAACTACACCAAGTGTAGGAAGTTTGGGTGGGTGTGAAACCCACTTTTTTGATAAAAGACTTTTTTTTTTCTTTTTTAAAAATTTTGATATGGAGGAATTTTTTTACAAGTTGATGATCGTGACCTCCGTCCCTCCACTTCGAAATCCGTGTCGTCAGCCTTAAACCGTATTTACCTTGGATCCGTCACTATTTAACCCAATAACTAAAATCCTTGCTAACACCAATACATTTTGTAGCTTCTAGTACTAGTATTTTTTTAATACTGAGGGGACCCTTGAGTTTAGGTCACAGTTCGATTGCACCTGCATAGTGCTGACTCAGCACTATGCAGGTGCAATGCGTTCTCAGCACTGCTGAGGACGCGTATGTCATAATGTCTTATTTCCCTGAATTTGACTTGTTTTCATGATTTAATTATTAGTCAAAATTTAAATTTTAAAAAAAAAAAGCACTTGATTTTTTTTTAGAAAAACACTATGTTATTGCAACCTAATTTATAGGACATAATAATTTAAAAAAATAATAGGTCATCTGCCCACATTATGTACAAAATGATAGATGTCTAGCCGGCCAGACATTCATCAGTCTTATCTATTTAGCTATTTCCCCTGAGATTACCCTGATTTTTTTTAAATTTAACCCTATTTCCCTGATAGTTCTTTTTTTTTTTTTTTTTTGCAGACATCTGAATTCCCTGATCCCTGCATGTGATAAAAGTCTCTAGGTATATAAAAGTTTAACAATGTCAAAGTTTGTATTAAAAAAAAATAAATAAAGATATTATGCCAAGTAAAAAAATTCTAATTTATTAAACAATCACAGATATAAATTGACATTAAAAATAAATAAGAAACTATATAATAGTGTGCTGCTAATAATTATCACTGTTGTTGATATTCCTATATTGATAAATGGTAACACTCCTACTGAGTCTTCTACTTTACGCCTTCTTGGATTACTTTGTTGCAACCACCTCTTGTGGAAACTTTTTCTCTTGTGAAAACTAACTTTGGAATTCTTATAAAGAATTCCAAAGTTAGCATCGGCTAAGGTTGTTATTCATTAAAATGTGCTCACCATTTTCTCACTCCTGATTCCTACAAATTTAATTGTCCCTGTATGGAATACTGTTGCCATATTTGGGCTAGTTCAAACTTAATTAACCCTGTATGACATACTGTTGTCACATTTGCGCTAGTTCTTCTAATGATGCCCATTCTTTTAAATCACAAAACTTATTATAAATAAAGTTGGACCTGTTACTTTCTAAGCTTGACCCTGTGTCCCATGGTTGTAATATTGCATCTCTTTCTCTTTTTTTAAAATACTATTGTTCCATGAACCAAATCTTTTTTTAATTATGCGTGATTTTTCATTTAGCAAAGTCACTTGGTTTAAATATAGAAATAGTGTTATTGCAGCATCAGTATCCGTACAGTAAACATATAATTTTACAGTATCTATTCCTTCATGCTCTAAAAACTTTTATTCCTCTAGTTTTTTCTTTGCACAGTTTTCATTCAACCGCTTTCTCTTTGTTTTCTGAAACTCTTCACTGAAATAGTGGTGTTTACATCGTTGTTGGTAGTGAATTAGATTTAAAAAAATCAAACATGAAAATGTATAATTTTTGTTTATCAGTAGTTGTTTATTTAGCTTAAATTTTATTTTTTTTTCAATCATTTTATTTTATTCTATTTATTTTGTTTTCTAAATATATTTATTTCTATTTTTTTTACAATTTGTTAAAGGAAAATATTAGATAAGTGGATAAGTGTTTTTTTCTAATTTATTATTGCTGTTTTTTAAAAACATTGAGCACTCTATTTGTAGAATAGAATAACATATATATATATATATATATATATATATATATATATATATATATATATATATATATATATATATATATATATATATATATATATATATATATATATATATATATATATATATATATACATGCACCCAGAAATGGATACTCAGAACATATTGTCAAGCCTGATATGTCACGACTAAAACTTTAACGTAAATTTTTGTTTTTTCTAACATAACGTTTGACAGCAAAATTTTCATTGCTTCGTCCCCATGATAGCGCACTACTGGAAATAGTTTCAATTTGTTCACAAATCTTTACACATAAATTAAAAGAGGATGTTGGGTTTGTAATTGTTTGCCTATCACTAACTTTCTGAGTTACCTCATGGGATACTGACGATGTAATAACACCATTTCTATATTTAAATAAATTAATAGATTTGCCGAGTTGCCGCCATCGGTCCGCTGTCAAACCGCCTTCAGTTTTCCGCTAACGGACCGATGTAAATACGATGTGCAAGCCAACGCGGCAAAGCAGCGGGCGGCCGACGTTGGCACGCCATAAGTGCTGACAGCGGTCCGTTATCGGTCCGCCTGCTTGATGTTTGCTGGGTATTTTTTTGTTATTTTGATTTTTTTTAAGTTCCATTAAAAAAAGCACCATCTTAAGAAACTGGTTTCCTAAGATGAAATAATTGGGTGTGTTGAAGAAAACACAAATTTTGGTATAAAGATTTTTTTTTTAATGAATTATTTATATTCTTTGAGAGGAACGATAAAATTATCATTATTTTAAAAAAAATATATATCTTTTTGTAATCTTTTGGGAGCAAAATACATTACACTGAAAACATGCTCAACTTACGCAACATCCCCCTAATTAGGGAAAAAAGACATTACAATGCAAACAAAATTTGCGTAAAACGAGCGCATTTTCTTTGTTGTAGTTAAAAAAATTTTCGAAGTAATTTTTTCTCTTCTCTAAAGGGAACTTAATTCATTTAGTTTTGTGTTCTATAGTTAAGCTTATTGGACTTTTATTCATTTTGTTTTTAAACTATATTTTAGAAAATTCATTTATTAAAAGTCTTTATAAAAAATATTCTTTAAAAAATTTTTATTTGCTTTTTTTTAATATATAAACGCGTACACAAACGCGTAAAAGCACAAATGCGCAAAACTACCGTCAAACGCTTACAGTACGCGTCAAACACGTACGTATTAATTACGTCACTTTAATTAAAAGTTCATAGTCATAGTCATAAGAATAAATTTCTTATGACTATGATTAAATTTAATATTTAAAAACAACCGCTAATTGTTTTCAACAATTTGGTAGACGTCATTCACAGCAGAATTGAAAATATATAGAAAAAAAAATTTAAATCATATCAACACCATTAAAACAGTATAACATTTTTTAAAATGATTTTTCAATAGTAGAATGATCCTCTCTAATAAGAAAATTATTCATAAACTTATTCTCATTATTTAAAAGTTTACTGTAAGTTTGAAATTATTTTTATTGCTGTTATTATAATGTTAAAATTAACGTATTTGTTAGTTTTAATACTTTTATGTTTATTAATTATTACAATTACCGGGGCAAGAATTATTATATTATTAGTGATATCATTATTTTTATATTAATTATATAAAAGTTGTTAATACTGTAGCTGCATTAACAGTTAAAAACTCAATTTAACAGCTTTTAATAATATACAAAAATGCAATTCGAAAAATTTAAACAAAAATAGTTTTTAAGTTAATTTTTGGTGCTAAATATACGTCTAATTTGTTTTTAAAATAATTTACGTTTGTTGAATTGACGACTTTTGATGGCGATGCGTTCCATAAATTCGCAGTTCTGTTTATAAGGAATTCTTGTCTTGGTATAAACTTGGTTTGTTCTCTACTGTATTTCTTTTTGTGACCTCTGTGTGATTTTGAGGAAGTATGCTTGTTTAAAGTTTCTACTTTTTGGATTTTATCAAAAATTTTAAATACTTAGATAAAATCTCCTTTTTTTAATTTTTAAACTAATCTAGCTTCCTCAATTGAATTTATTACTGATAAGATTTTGGTGTCATCTGCATATATTTTTACAGTGCTTTTGATTTTCTGTGGTGTCATTGATGTCACGGCTCTTTCACGAAATTTAAAATTGGGCATTACGTCACAAGTTTAGCAAAAACATTTTCCGCATATACAAATATCGGTATTTAAAGTATAAAAATTCAATAACTTTAAAGTAATGGTTTTTTTTTTTATAAACGCTTTTATGTTCTAATAAAAAAAAAAATGAAACATCTATATTTCCTTGTTAAATTAATATTTGATTAAACGGAATAAAAATAAAAGTTATAAAAATATTGCTAATGATTTGGGATCACTTTTCTGTTTTTTGCGTATTTTAAGGAAAACCTGTCTTGGGCCAATCAAGATTAGATATTTTAAGCTACATGGTTTATAGTTGAAATTTTACATACTTATAAACGAATGTCTATTTTATCAGATTTTTGGTGAACGTGGATAAAAAAAAAATTTTAAGTTGGATTTTTTAGCTTTTATATTTTTGTTACTACTTGTTTTATATGAAAAACGTTATATTTTTGCCAAGTTCAATAAATTATTGGAATAATAACCCTTTATGCACATGAAAATCAAAAAAATTACTTTCTGTACTTCTTACTAAAACGTTTTCAACCTTGACAAAGTTTGTTGCTTTTAGCAACAAAATTTGTAGTTACATGCGAAAATTTTTTGTTTACATTTTAAAGCAATGATATAACTTTAAATGCGTAGCTTTGTATTATGAAGTACAAAAATGATTGATTAGTTATTAAATATAATTTGGTTTTTATATTTTGTATTTCATTTTAATTATTTTATCTTAATAATGCTTTTCAGATTTAATAATTAGTCTTTTCTGCAAACATCAACAAAAATGGCAGTAAATCAAAAACAATATGATGATACAACCCATTCGATAACTTCAAATGAAAGTGCAACTGATATTTGTGATGTAAGTTTGTAATAATTTATTCACGTATATATATATATATATATATATATATATATATATATATATATATATATATATATATATATATATATATATATAAGTATATATATATAAATATATATATATATAAATATATATATATATATATATATATAAATATATATATATATAAATATATATATATATATATATATATATATATATATATATATATATATATATATATATATATATATATATATATATATATATATATATATATATATTAGGTACGCGGACTGATTTTTTTAAATTAATTAAATACTAGAATATTATATATCATTAGAAAGCCCTCAAATACAGTATTTTAATGGTGAAAAAATTATGAAAATCGGACAATTCTATAAAAAGTTATTGCGTTTTTAGTAGCAAATTTTCGATATATGGATTTATTGAAGAAACTGGTTCCAAAATTTTTTTTTTCCCACTAAAATTGTTATAACTTTGTCAAATCTTATCCAAATGTCTATACCTTGGTATCAAAAGATAGATGTAAGAGTAGGCTACAAGTTCATATAACTCTATAGATGAAAGGGGTGTCTAGAGGACCGGAGGGGGTACCGGAACACCCTCGTACCCTTAAAAAAATACAAGTTTTTCACACGAAAGAGTTTTTTTCTGATAAAATATGTCATCTTTATACACAAAAAATTGTTTGATTTGCTTCCAATCCATTTCCAAATATTAGTGGTCTATTTTAGATTGAAGGGTGGAGGTCTTTGCTACGTTTTAACACCCTCGTAGTGAAATGCTACATTGTTATAAATATTTGAACCTAAAAAACAATGATTATATTTTGTATGAAATATTTTAAATTAAATTTTCTTACTTTACAGCATATACAAGTGGTGTATAAGTTTACATAAGGGACGGGACATGTGCCATGCCAAACGCCCCCCCTTCCTGCCCAGTCGTATCCAACCTAAAAAAAAAAATTTTAAAAGATATTTGAAAAATAGTTTTAAATTAAATTAATTGGAAAAGAGAAACAAGTATTCAAGATTATTTTAATATGTTAGTACAGGTAGGGGTGTGTGCCACACCCAATGTCCCCTCCCCTTCTCATTCAAACTTGCAAAAAATGTCAATAAAATTTTTTTAAATGTTTTTAAATTATGTCTATTTAAAGAGACATAACTTTTCTAATCTTACCACATTACAAAATGCAAGTTGGAGTATCCACCCTAAAAATAGGCCAAAGATAAAACTTATTTTAAAACTTATATAATAATATAATAATATTATTATATAAGTTTTAACTTATATAACAAAATATAATAAATTTAAGTCTTGGCTTTTAGTAAATGATATTGTTTAAAGTTCCAAGGTTAATAATATTATAAATAATGTAAAAAAATGTACTAAATTATATAAACCTAAAAATTATCAAATAATTTAAAAAACTCATACATACCTTCTTTAAACAAGTTACGATTACAAGAAACTGATATTTTAACCTCAATAATGCAAATATAATTTTTAGGAACTGTAAACATAGGGTACAATAACATAAAATCAAATAACTATTAATAAAGTCAAACAAACATTTTTAATAAACTAAAACAAGAATAGTAAATAAGTTTGCAAAATACACTTCACATTTATCAACATTTGAAATATTACACATAAATTTAAAATTACATTTAACGTGGGCTACAAAGTCTTAAAAAAAAAACCTAATTCTATTGAAAGGTCCACATCTATCTATAGTGTAAACTTTACAAATTTATATAATACAACTTTTAAAAGTGTAAAAAGTATTTCATTGGGATTATTACAATGTTTTGCTTTTAAATTTTTTTGGGTAAAAGTTTGAAAAAATATAAAGCAAATGTTATAATTGTATAAATTGGGAAAAAACGGAAAATAAACTTGCAGAAATTAAATAATTTAAAATTAAAAAAAAAAAAGGATGGTGGTGCCTAATAATTGTAATAATCTCCATGAACCACTAGGCTGCCACCATTCCATCTTCTCCCTCTGCTTCCTCCACTTCCACGATCTCGACCACCTTCCCTTCTGCTGCGGCTCGCAGCACCATTGTTAGGAGGATGATAGGGCCATTTAAAAGAATTATTGTCTCTTCCTCCTAACCGGACCCATCGCTTAAATGAACTATTGCTGGTGGGTCCAGGATGCTTGGACCTATATAATAGGTAGTCTTGATAGGTTAGCTCTAAATGACAATGATTCGTTAATAGATTAGTATTGAATGGCATTATGTAAAATTTAATATAAAACAATTAATTGCAAAAGTGATAGGCTGAATAAATAATATGAACAACGTATTAATCAATGATAACTTAAACAATATTAATGGGAGTAATAATTTCATTCTGCTGCACTTTGAGGGATAACATAACACTAATGCATTAAGTAGTGTATATAAATATAAACATAAATTTAATAATCATTAAGAAACATTTTTAAATCATAAATTTTCCAGCAGAAGGTTGAACACCTGGAACTAAAGATAAAAAAAGTTTCTATAAAAATTTGCAATTGATAAGAAAGGTGTGTAACCAAATTTTGTTATATTATATAAAATAATAGTTTTTAAACTTACTATAACTAGTAAGTTTAAAAACTATTATTTTGCAAATAATAGTTTTTAAACTTACTAGTTATAGTAAGTGCTGAAGATGTAACTAAATGTTATCAAAGTTGTAATTAAAAATAGTTACTGAAAAAAAAATAAAGATTATCAAAGTTGTGATTAAAAATAAATACTGTAATTGCCAAGATATGCATAAACATTTTGAAAAGTAAAAATTAGTTAACATACCTCTTATAGCAGATGTAGAAGGAACTTAGGTTAAGAATTATTTAATAAAAAACTTATACTGCAGTCATCAAAAATATATACACATATTAAAAAGTAATAATTGTTAAATTTACCATTTGTTGAAGATAAAGATGTAACTTAAATTCAAAATTTGTAATAAAAAATAAATATTGCAAATAAGGACTTTGAAATCGGTAATCTTTGAAATTTATTTACAGAATAAAAAGTACTAGCTAATTCTATAATCATTAGCATATACAAACTGATAAAATCTTACCAGTGATAGGCTGTGTAGATTCGACTAAAAATAACAAAAAATTTGTGCACAAAATAATTTGAAATTGTCAACAGTAAGTTACAAATGTTAAAAGCTGTACATAAGTTAAAAGTTTTTTACTTAAGATGCAACAACTATACTAACAAAATGAAAATAAACAACTAAATATAACTATTAAAATATAAAGATAATATATTTATAAGCAACAAGTTAACATTAGAAATGGATATAAACTTATGTAAACAATAAACACATAAAAAGATGATATACAATAAGTAAAAAAATTAACTCTAGTTTTTTTAAGACTTTCTATAGATAGGAAGATATTATAAATGTTTATTAATATTTACTTATTATATACTTTTTCTCTTTGTGAATATTAAATTTAAACTTTATGTGATTTATACTTACAAAATCTCAAAAAATCAACAAAAAGCCGGACAGGATCTAAACAAGAAATAAATATTAGACATGTTTGTATAATGATTTAAACACTAATCCATAGATAAAGAAGTATATAATCCAAATATGATAAAAGACAATAATGATGATATCTTTTGTTATATTTTAAAAACAATAAGAAGCTTTTTGTTAAGATTAACGTAATGAAGTATGTAATATAATTGTTTATATGTGGTGTTTTAATAAATTCCAGGCTGTCAAGTCGTCATTTTTTTCATTTTTTTTGGGTTCTTTTTTTTTTCTTTATTTTTTTTCATTTTTTTGTTAGTTTTTGTCATTTTTTCATTTTTTTCTTGAATTTTTTACACTTTAAAGTTTTTTTTAAATGCTTAGAATTGCTGTTTTTGATATTTTTAAGTTGTTTTAGACATTATGTTACTTAGTTTTTTATTTAATTTTCAAAACTATTTTATAATAACAGTTACAATCTTTTATGTTCACATTTTAATTTTAATTATCCATTTGTATTGCTAAATTGGTGTTATTATTTTAAAAAATAAATCATTCTATAGTATAGAACTAGTAAAGTTAGTGATTTTTATATTTAGTTTTTAGTATATTTATCAATAGATTATATAGTATAATGGTTAAGTGAAATGATGTGTGGTTGGAAAATATTAAGTTGACAATTTAAAATTGTCAACTGAATATAAAAATTGACAATCAGTTTTAATAGGCTATTATAAACCACATATAAACAAGTAAATTACATACTGCATTAGTGTAAGCCTAATAAAAAAACTTTTTAGTGTTTAAAAAAATTAAAACTGTGACTATTGAATTAGTCAATGAATACCAACAGTTTTAATCTTAAACATTAATCTTTTTTAATATGTTACATAAAAAACTATGAAGGTTTTACATTATTCTTTTTTTTTTGGAGTTAAAAATAGTTATTAATTCTATTATTAAGAATAAAAAAAAATTAAACTTACTTTCTGTTAGGGCATCTAACACATTTTTGCTATAATTTGCCATATTTTTTTAAATCTAATAATATATATCACAGTAATTCAAAATAAGATTATTAGTTGAAACGCCCCCTTATTCGGATTTCAGCGCCTACCGGATTTTCAGAGGTCAAAATAGCAATTTTATTTGGGCGGTCATTGACCGTAGACCGGCTGTTATTTTAGAAGCTGTATTAGGGTGGTGCTCAAAAAACTTTTTCAAAGTAAATTGATGGGACAACCTCTATTTTTGTTCCTTTTAGCATTAACAAACTTATGTGCAAAATTTGAGAAGGATATTTCATCATTAAGGGGTGCCACACAGGTTTTTTTTTTATTTTTTGTTTTTTTATTTGCATTCACTCCCAACAAGGCTGCAAGCAACCACTATCAAGTTGGGAGTTACTAGGAAAAAAAAGAACAGAGTTATAGAGCAAGGAAACGGTTGACAGAAGACTTGAAAAGTTGAAGGTTGTAGGAGTCAGGAAAACATGAAGATGGGAGAGAGTTCCAAAGGATTGAAGTGCAGGGAAAAAAACTAGATGAATAAAAGTTTTTAGAGCATGCAGGGACAGATACAGTAAACAAATGAGACTTAGCTGAATTACGAGTAAAACGAGAATGAATTTTAGTTGATGGAACTAGAGATGATAACTCCTTTGAGCAGTGACCATGATAGTATCTGTAGAAAAGAGAAAGAGATGCAACTTTACGACGATGGGAAAGAGGTTCAAGCTTAGCAGATAGTCCAGGTCCAACAACATTTACAATGCGTTTTTGGACCTTGTCAAGAAGAGAAAGTGAATCGTTAGTAGAACCAGCCCAAATATGACAACAGTATTCCATACAGGGACGAATAAGAGATTTGTAGAGGTAGAGAATGGAATCAGAAGTAAGGAAATGGCGAGCACGATAAAGAGAAGAAACCTTAGCAGAAGCTAATTTAGAAATCGATTGTATATATGGTTTCCATGAAAGGTCAGTAGTAAGCGATAATCCAAGAAGACGTAAAGAGGAGGACTCAGTAAGAGGATTGCCATTCATTAATATAGGAATGTTGACCATATTACGGTAGTTGTTTGCAGTAAGCAACTGGGTTTTTTTAGAGTTGAAATTCACAAGCCACTGTCAACCCCAATCTATTACTGAAGTGAGATCGGATTCAAGATCAGCTGCTTGTTCTAGGCAATCGAAAAGAGAAGACTTTTTTGTCAAGACAGGAGTATAAAGTTGAGTCATCAGCAAAAAGAGCTACTTTAGATGAAAGGTTGTCAGGAAGATCGTTTATGTAGATATGAAACAAAACAGGGCCCAGGATGGAACTCTTACTTTATTTTCAGTAACTTCTGGGGAACCCCAGAAGTTACTGGAAATAAAGAAGAGTGTTGGCCTTCAAGGATGACTTTAATAAACCGGTTAGAAAAAAATGATTTGATAATCTCAAAACTTTCTCAGAAACACCATATGAAGCAAGCTTATGGAGAAGACCAGCGTGCCAAACTTTGTCAAAAGCTTTAGATATGTCGAGAGCAATAGCCCTAGCCTCACTGCCTCCATCTAATGCACGATAAAATCTTTCAGTTACAGCAGTTAGCAAGTCGGCCGTAAGGCGAGAGGATCGAAAACCGTATTGATTGTCTGACAGTAGTTTATTTGACTCAAGATGAGATGTGAGGAATTTGTTGATCAAAGACTCAAAGACCTTGCTAATAACAGAAAGAAGACTGATCTGACGATAATTGGAGGGGTCAGAATTTTCTCCAGAGTTTTTGAATATTTGAACCACAGATGCCATTTTCCAACAAGCAGGAAAACAAGACTCAGTCAAACACTTGTTAAATAGTTTAGAGAGAATTGAAGAATGTTCTGGAGAACAGTTCTGCAAGACTGTGACAGGAATGTTGTCTGGACCACAAGCTGTAGACGAGTTTAATTGAGATATGACTTTAGCAACAGAAGCCAGAGTGATTTGAATGTCTAACAATGGGTCAACCTGTTTGACTGGAATGGAAGGAAGAGAATGTCCATAAGATTCAAGAGTGCAATTAGAAGAAAAGTTCTTTGCAAATAGTTCTGCCTTATCCTTGGGAGAGGTAATAAGATCAGTCCCATGAATGAGAGATGGAATGTTAGATCTACCCTTGCTAATAATGCTGTTGAAGATTTTCCAAAAGTCTTTAGAGCCTAACTTCTGCGATAAGATGCAAGATTTAGTGAACTGAGTATAATGGAATTTAGCATCAGAAAGCACCTTTTTACATCAATTTCTTGCAATAATAAATAGCCAAAAAAAAAGATTACGATTGGATATAGCAGCCGCACAAGAAGGAGAAAACCATGGAGTAGAATGAGGCTTGACTTGAAACCGACGCGAAGGAATAAAAGCTTCCATTCCAGCCTGAATCCAGGAGGTTACGTAGGAGGTGCATTTGTCAGCTGAGAGAGAAAAAACATTAGCCCAAGGACCATCACAAAGAAAATCACGAAAGGAATCCCAGTCAGCTTTAGGGTAGTAGTAGGTGGTGCGATGATAAGGTGAGACCAAAAAAGAAGTACAAGAAGAAAGATTTATAGAGATCATTGCATGGTCAGAACCACCTAAGGGAGAAAGGGAGAAACTGAACATAAGCTAGGGTCAGAGACAAGACATAAGTCAAGGAGTGAAGGTAAATGATTAGGGTTGTCAGGAAAACGAGTCACAAAGTTAACTATCTGAGTAAGAGATTGAGAAACGCAGAAGTTAAAGGCTTTAGTGCCAGCAGGATCAGTGGTGTTAGAACCAAGCCAATCAGTGTGTTGTGCATTAAAATCACCAACAACAACAATATTGGCAGAGGGGTAAAGAGAGAGGGCATGGTCAATTTGATCAGAGATAACATCTAAGAGAGTGCAATCATGGGAAGAAGGAGAACGATAAAGAACAAAGAGAAAGGTGATAGAGTGAAGAGGTGCTAGGCGAAAGCACATAGAAGAATGGTCAAAGGATTCGAACCTGATTTCACGACAAATAGGGGAATTAATGCGTATGTATACCCCTAAACCTAGCATGTGACTATTTGAGTCTTTACGAATCAAAGGATAGTACCCATCAACACTGACATCTGAAGAAGAAATTGCAGAATTTAAATTTGTTTCACTGAGTGCAAGCAAGTCTGGTGAATTTTGCAGGAGGTAAGACTCAACTGATGGAAAGTTGCTTCGTAGACCGCGAATATTTGTAAAAGATATATTAAAATATTTAGGTGGTGGGGATGATTTTTTAGGTTTTAAATTTTTGGTTACTTTGGTCATGATTCGGGTTTAATGAGAACTTGACTCATTTATAGATAGAGCACAGCCTTCTAATCAATGAGCTATACAGTTGTCTCAGTCCTGTTAATTAACCCTAAGCCGTGACATAGGGCTCCTTATGTGGCCTTGACAATTCACACCAAAAGCATTAACAGGGACACCATCCATGCGCAACATGGCACTGTTAATACTCTGATATTTTGCAGCTGTTGATGGAATCAGCCTCTCTGAGAGCTACCACAGAGTTCAGGAAACCTTACTACCAGCCGGCCTCAGAACCATTAAACTGAGTTTTAGAGCTGTACCCTCATATGGAGATAACAGGAAGAGTTGCATAGCCATTATCAAGGAGGCATAAGCAAAATACTATGAGTAGAGTCAAGGAGATCCAGCTGTCATCATCCTAGGCAGGAAACAATGTAACACAGGTTGCATCTACGCCAGCCTAATAGATGAAGAAGGGGTTCGAGGCTGGTTAGCAGAATTTTTCTGCTTACCCCTAAAGTCTTTGCCTAGGAGGCCTTCTACAAGACAGTAGCTGGATGCAGTTAACATCTGCCCAGGATAAGTATTTTTATCGAGACACCATCTCTAGCCTTTACTCAACCAAGAGCCCCAAGGCAGGGGATGTTTAGCTGGATGCAGTTAACATCTGCCCAAGACGAGTGTTTTTATCGAGACACCATCTCTAGCCTTTACTCAACCAAGAGCACCAAGGCAGGAGATTTTTTAGTTGGAGTTTATTTCTCCTAGCCATTGCATAAGAAGAGCACACTCTGCAAGGCAGCAGAGCTTGTGGCAGGTGGTACTGGGTTACGTGATACCAGTAGCAAGATTGATCTCGATTATCCTGACCTGACCTGAAGTAGTTAAAAGAAGTTACTTCCCGCAACAGTACTTTGAGGAAACCAGGCATGACATTTTGGAAGTGCATTAGGAAAAATACTGCATCTAAGAAAATACAGGAGTCTAAGGTGAGTGTCAGTTTTGTAGTTGGAGTAAGTAGTTAGTTAATGAGCTCACGCTGCATTAGAGTATAAACAGAACACAAACAAACATAAGTAAACATAATTCAACTTACGGGTGAGTCAACACGGCGCCAGAGGTTCAGACAGAACACAAACATACATAAAAAACATAAAGTAACTTACGGGTGAACGAACACCGCGCCAGAGGTTCAGACAGAACACAAACATACATAAAAAAACATAAAAAACATAAACATAAACATAAAGTAACTTACGGGTGAGCGAACACCGTGCCAGAGGTTCAGACAGAACACAGACATACATAAAGAACATAAAGTAACTTACGGGTGAGCGAACACCGCGCCAGAGGTTCAGACAGAACACAGACATACATAAAGAACATAAAGTAACTTACGGGTGAGCGAACACCGCGCCAGAGGTTCAGACAGAACACAGACATACATAAAGAACATAAAGTAACTTACGGGTGAGCGAACACCGCGCCAGAGGTTCAGACAGAACACAGACATACATAAAGAACATAAAGTAACTTACGGGTGAGCGAACACCGCGCCAGAGGTTCAGACAGAACACAAACATACATATAACGTAGATTACAGGTGAGCTAATACAGTAACTAAGGCACCTCCAACTATATGAGAAAAAAAAAAAAAAAAAAAAAAAAATTACTATAGGCATGACTGATATAAAATAGTACTGATGACAGGAAGAACACTCCTTTCAGCCTTTGCTTAGAAAGCAAATCCTGCAAGGCAGCAGAACATGGAACAGATTGCACTGGGTTACATGTTACCAGTAGCAGGTTGATCATGAAGACCATACTCCTGACCTGACATTTGATCTAATGGCATGCTGGTTAAGATCTAATGGCATGCTGGTTGAAAGTTTCACTAAGGTTGACGTTAATGGCTGTAAGCACTTTAAAATTTTTTTTTATATAAACTATTTTAATTCAAAAGTTTTTAAATAACAAAGTATTGAACATTGAAAACCATGAAAAATTAACTATAATTTCATTTTAGTTTTTCATTTTGTTTTGAATGGAAAAATGACTATTTAGTCCTGTTTAACAACAGTGGATTTCTTGGCATCTGGAAACTGTTTTCGATGCTCAGACACAACCTGGAGAAGTCCTTGCTTTTGTCCTTCATCTTTTGTTAG